TCTCTCCCGCTCTCTCTCTCTCTCTCCTCTTGAATGATGATGCGTCTGAATGATTGTCCCGCTCTTGAATGGAAATGAGTCTGCATTCTGTGTGAGGGAACTTCTTCCAGAACTCTTCCATTAGTTTCCTGGGTAAGCCTCCTACGCAAGGACCCTGTTTTCTTGTCTTGTGAACGGTGGATGCATGTGTACTGAGTGATGCGATCCATCTTTTCCTGTGCACATCTCATTTTTGCACCTTCCACAGTGAATGCATGTAGGGAAGGAGTGACTCTTTTGTTGATTAGACGATTGTCGTCGGAATTTTACTCGAGAATGCAAGAGTGTTTAGATCCGTAGCTCTGTTTACACTGCGCATGCCATCTGCCTTATGATGCACGACATCAGCAGCCGAGTCACGAGGCAGCCCTGAGAAACAAAGCGCCCAAGGACCAACGTTGTGTTGGGCTGATCAAACCCGTAGCCATATGCGTGATCAAGTTGATCTGTGTTTGCTCCCTCTCTCTCTCATGCCAAGAAGGATTGATTGAGGGTTGGGCGAATGATTTCTGTTTTTGATGACGTCTCGGGATGTTTGTGATTGACGAATATGCGGACAGACAAGCATCCTTCGACTGGGCGCCAGCCTCCCGTATCTCCCATCCCAACGCGACCTTTTCCTTACAGTGAGAAAAGGACACGTGTATGCGAGTGGGACGTACGAGAAGCCGTTGAACGAATCGACGAACAGTATTACTTCCCTCCCAAAAATCGTTGTTTTGGATTCGTAGATGCGGGCTTTGTTATTATCGATACGCATTTCCCACCTTACTCGGTATTGTTGCCATTTAACGAGTTGATCGTCATTCAGTGGACGGCAGTAGAACCCCATTGGCCGCGCATTTTGTGCACCGAATGTCAGCGTTTTGAGCGCTACGAGTCCAGGGGTTTCCACTACCGTGTGCGGAGTGAAGACGAGCATAAAGAAAGAGTCACGTGGCTAAGACCATCCACGTCGAACTCGGAACTAACCAGTGAGCGACGACGACATTTGATATGGAAACGAGACATGCGAAGCGTGCCAAAACCTTTTTGCTCCAAACGACGGGCGGTATCCCGGTGGGAAGCCCGACAGTATTTTTTGGATTGAATTAGGGTCTTTCTGTTTTCGCGCCACGTCCGCGCGCGCATTCCGCAACGCGCGAAACTAACCAACTTGCTCCATTGGACCAACACTGGGGATTTCAGTTCCGAATGTGTCCCCACACTCAATTTCCAAAAATCCTTGGCACAACCCATCTTGCTGTTTTTTGGGGCCTCTTTCCACATGACTAACACTCCGAACGGAAGAGTGCACAGGGCGTGAGGTTTGCGTGTCATATGTATACGCACGATAACGGGGGAAAATATCCTCAACAAGGGGGTGGATTTGGAGACGCAAGAATAGTCACCTTTGCCAACGGCCAGGGCCCAGGCAATATGGTTTGCCATGACCAAGGTCATGGGATGTTTGTTTCCATTTTTTGCCATATGCAGTCTCACCATCTCCATGTGAATTGGGCGATCCGGTATTGCATGAAAATGTGTTAAATGGTCTTCGCCTTATTGTGGGAAGGGAATAAACTATGGCACTGTTGTGCCGGCCTCTTTGTTCTAGATTATTGCGGTTTGTCAACCAATCATTGGTCGACAAACATCGATGGGTTGTTTGCCACTGTAGTTAGGTGATTTTCATGGGCTTGGATTTTAGTTCCTTGAACCAATGGATCGGTGTGAGGAGAGTACGGTCCACATTAAGGTGCCTAGCCCATCGATTGCTAACCGTGTCCCTCATATGCCGTTTGGGTCTGAGCATTTCATAGGCCGATTTGACCGATGGCTGATGCAGTCTAATGTGACAAGCATTGGGGCCTGCCCTCTTTTGAGGGAACTGCCATTTCCATTCTACTGGGTCCTGGGTCAGATCTTGGATCGGCGTGAATGGCTGGAACACCACCCTTTGTCCCTTTTCCTCTATGACCCTCACTCGGTACACCGATGCTCTGCTCCCTTGGAGGGCGCCCATTTTGGTGATAGTGTAGTGCTCGACCAAGACTGTTTGGGGTGAGACCATATGAATTTGGTTGATCCTCAACGAGGTCTCCCTACTTGCCACCCAATTACCTACTCTCAGGGTGGGGCCTCGTTTGAGAATTCAGTACCACATAAGTGGGATAGCTTCAATTAGGTTATCCAAACGCTCCTCCACATGATGACAGTGTAATAGGGTTTCTCGCAATTTATCTCCTTTTATCCAGTCCTGTCTCTCGTTGTCCCAGGTTTCTCGCGTGAATTGACTTTGTGACCGGTATCGGCTGCCGTCGTTGACAACGGGCTTCAAGCTGCGATTGACGTTGATTAGTGTCGCCAAGATCATCGCAAGATTCCTACTTCGAGCGTGGTGTTGCTTGTAACCTTTTCTTCTTTACTCAATTGTCACGTTTTGCAATTATTAGGGCTAATTAGTTGATGATCTTCGAGTATTGGTGACATTTTTTGTTTTTCACGACTATTTGTGACAATTAGGGTTGGTCTTAGTTAGGAGATTGTATAGTTGGGGTTTGGTTTTTCGTTGGGTGTGGTGAGTGTTGGTGATTGGCTTGGGATGAGTGCGTGAGTTGAGAATTGAGAGTTTAATTAAGGTTCATTTTTTGTTTACAATACTTAGGTTCTCATTGGTACTTAGGTTTGGGTTAAAAAAAAAAAAAAAAAAAAAAGGTCGGTATTATGGACTTTGTGGTGGCAGAGATGTGTGCTGGCGATGGAGGGGGCTACGACTATGAAACACTTGCAGCCGCGGGCACCGCGGGCACGACCGCGGTCCACGGTCACGGCCG